GGCAGTTCCAGAAGTTTTGAGAAATTCTCCTCTGTTGTCCTGGAATTGAGAGCCTTTCTATGGAAGTTGTACACTGATAGAAAACCGCTATTACATTCCATAGGCTCTGCCTTAGAGGAAGCTTTAAGTCTTTTTTTTTTTTTTTTTTAAATGAAAGTGTAGCAGGCCCGCATCTATTTACATTTGTGTGTGCATGGCAGGGACCGTTAGCCTTAGCAGACAACTAGCAGGAACTCAGTGTCATTCAATGGAACATGCTTGGAAGGGCAGAAGGAATTTTCAAGTGGCTGGAACTGCAACATATCCTCTTCAGTCACTGCAGCTGACACCAAATGCTCTTTCTTTAAGAGCTATCCTTGTGTCTAAGCAAACCTCCCATTCATTCCCAGCAAGAAACATTGCTAATGAGCTTCCAGGGCAAGTCTCTCCCCTGCACCAGTTCATGGGGCTGTTTCAACTCTCACTGAGAGATGGTGCCAAGAAGTGCCCGTGCAGTGGGCACCAGAGACAGAACCTTCTACACATGCTGAATCATTGCAGAGCTGCTGTCTGCAGCCTGCCAAACACAGCTGTGAACTGCTCTAATCATTTCAAGGGTGTGTTGACACCAAGACCACTGATAGCAAGCGAGGTTAAGTGTCAAGAATTTAACCACAGTAAAGAAGTCCAGCTCAGAGCATTAGGTAGTACCATGATTTTCCCTCATTACCAGCACAGACCCTTCAGTGAAAAAAAAGCATTCAAAATTCACAGACTAGTACCATGACATTTTAAATAAGATTTGAATTTCTATTTGCCTTCTGGCTTTTGAGTCTTAAGATTTTTCAGTCATTTCTCCAAAAACCCAAAAGGACTACACAAAGGAATAGAAGTGGAGTCTCTCACATAATCACAATTCCAGGCTGAGACGCACCCCATCAGATACCACACACACTTATAATAAAACAGCAGCAGCAACAGCAACAGAAAAGCCTCATAATGGTCGAGGCATCTGGATGCAGGAGCCTTTTCAACATAAAAAAAAAAAGTCAAAGCAAAGCTCTCAGAAAGCTGTTGTGTAGTAACCTTTGTTTTTTCCTCTTTTTTTTTTTTTTAAATGTAAAATTTTGTAAACAACAGACCATAAAAGAAATTTGAGGGTCAGTTTTCTCAAGTTTTTTTCCCCCTTCCATGCCCCCATCAAATCTGTTCACACATGTATATAAAGCACCATCTATTGGTATATAGAGTTGGCTTCCTAGCACTGCTGCCAGGCTGGCTATTCCAATGGTTATTGAAGACTGCAAGGGTCTTCTGTGCAAGAGGACCCACCCTTCAGACTGCAACTGCAATTCCACCAGGAGGCTCCTATTTGCAAGTCTATGGAAGCGTTGTAGCCCTTATTTCTGTTCCTTCTCCCCACTCTGGCCTCTTCAGGTGAGCAGTGCATGTTGTGGGAAAGGGGGGCATGCATTTCAACAATGAAACCTTCCACTGGATTGTGAAAGAGTCCTGACGTCTGTAGCAGAGGCCTTCTGGTTCCCGTCAGCTTTTCCAACCACAAACCACAGAAAGCCTGATGAAAAGGTCACCTTGCTATTTAACCAAAAGTTTTGAGGCCATACAAGATACTTGCTAGGAAGATGTTATTAATAAGCAGACACATCACAAAGGATTAAATGCTACTTAGCTTGGAAATAGGAGCATGACCCACATAGAGATTTGGGAACAGCCAAGGGTTAACGCTAGCCCCTCTCCAGATGATTTGAGGCTGTGGGGGACGAACTTTAAGAAGTAGGTCACTCCTGAATAAACTGTGCCCTATGAATGCTGAACAACATCCTTTGTGACATCTGCATGGATGAGCCCCAGAGCTGGGCAACTGCTGGTAGCTACATGGTCAAAGCCTCACTCAACACAGGACTTTGAGCAGAGGAGCCCTGCAGGGCAAGCATTCCTTGTACTGCCCAGACAGCCCCTCCAGCCTCACTTCTCACTGTGGCCGTCAAGATGCGGCCTAAATGGACCACCAAATAAATTTAGCAGGCCTGGCCAACCTGTAAGAAGAGGACAGTGATGGGTGCAAGGGAGGGGGAAAAAATTTAAAAATGTTTTTAAAAAGTTTTCCAATAGATGCAGACCTGGTACCAGAGGCTGGGATCTGCTAAGGAGGCACAAGAACCCAGCTTCCTCTGACATTCAGTGGGCATTTAACTCCTTTAAGCTCCTTGACAAATACCAGGTCTAAGGCTCGCATGGGGCTGCAAGTCCATTAGGGTGACTCTCCTCTCTGTGAACTCATGCAGGCCTGGCCAGGGGGACAGAGGGAGAGAAGATCACATTCACACTAGAAATCGCTACAAAGGGTTCCCGGTTTAAAAAACTAAAAATACATAAAACGCCATTTGCAAAAGAGTGACTGAGCCTGGCCCCAGAAGAGGGGCAGCATAGGTAGATTAATGAATGGGGAGAAGTCACCTCCCCTAGCGGGGCAAGGAACACAGGCCCCAAGTAGGGGGAGTGGTGGACCAGAAGAACTGGGAAGGGCTGGGAGGGAATCCAGAGAGCAAGTGTCCACTCTGACGGGGACAGAGATGCAAGTGGGGACAAGGGGAGGCAGCTGCCTTAGGCCACCTTGCACCTCTCCCATAGGGATTTGCACACAGGGCAGTCTGTAGATTGTGCCCCATGTAACAAATGTGCTATCTACGCACCTTGTTCTCACTTTCCTGTGCCTCCCCCACCCCCCACAAAACAAGAGACGTAGCAAAATACAGCAAAAGCCCCATCCCCACAACCTTCCTGCTCCAAGATCAGCATCTGGGGAAGAGGCCTCAGCAGCCATCCCTCGGAGTGGGACTGAGGCACCCAGTGGAGCTGCATTGTCCAGGGGGCACTCCCATTTAGCTCCTAGGGC